TAAGACATATCAGTGGTGCTGATAATATTGTAGCTGATATGCTCTCAAGAATTGAAACTTTTGCGTTACCATCACCAGTAGATCTACAGCAGTTGCATGATGAGCAAAATAGAAGCGAGGATATTAGGAAACTACTCGACGGCGAGCCTACTTCGATGCATCTAGTAACATACCGACATCCAGGTACAGGTATGTAGATAGTCTGTGATGACTCATCTGGTTTACTGCGTCCGTATGTCACAGAGATTTTACGTCGGGTGATATTCAACGCTAGTCATGGGTTGGCCCATCCAGGAGCGAAGGCAACTATTAAATTGTTTTGTTTGGAAAAAGATGAGTAGTGATCTACGAACATGGGTGCGCAGTTGCCCAGCGTGCCAGCGATGTAAAGTCTCCCGTCACACGAAAGCTGAACTCGAACAATTTGCAGTCCCAGGTAAACGATTTGAGCATATCAACGTGGATATAGTCGGTCCATTTACTCCGTCAAGAGGTTTCACATACTGCCTGACCTGTGTTGACCGGTTCTCAAGATGGTTAGAGGTAATTCCCTTGGCGGACATGACAGCTGAGACGGTCGCTAGAGAGCTCTTAGGTGGGTGGATAAGCCGGTTTGGTGCGCCCAAATTTATCACCACCGATCAGGGGCGTCCCAGCAATGGGTTGTGCGCTGGGCTTGGGACCCGCCACGTAAAAACCACTTCCAGTGAAGAAGCAAGGCAAAGCCTCGGATGAGACCCCCCCTTATGATGACGACCACGGCAAATGTTTAAAGGACTACGATTTGAGGGCATGCACCTGGAATGTCCGGACCCTTAATGGGGAAGGTGCCTCTGCCCGGCTGGTTGATGTCCTCGTAAGGACAAAAGCTGACATCACCGCCATCCAAGAAAGGCGTTGGACGGGGCAAGGCAAACAATGTCTGGGGCCTTGCGACCTCTACTACAGCTGCCATGTAAAGGAGCGCAAATTCGGAGTTGGATTTGTGGTGGGAGAGAGACTCCGTCGCCGAGTACTGTCGTTCACCCCGGTGGACGAGCGTCTAGCCACAATCCGCATCAAAGCGAGATTCTTCAACATCTCGCTCATCTGCGCCCATGCCCCGACGGAAGAGAAGGATGAGGCATCCAAGAATCTCTTCTATGAGCGCTTGGAGCGCACGTACGAGCGCTGCCCCCGTCATGATATCAAAATCGTGCTTGGCGACTTCAATGCCAGGGTGGGCAAAGAAGGGATCTTTGGAACCACCGTCGGAAAATTCAGCCTCCACGACGAAACGTCCGACAACGGATTGAGGCTGATCGACTTCGCCGGGGCCCGAAACATGGTAGTATGCAGTACTAGGTTCAAGCATAAAAGGATCCATCAAGCTACCTGGCTGTCTCCGGATCGAAAAACGAGAAACCAAATCGATCATGTTGTGATAGACGGAAGGCACGCTTCCAGTGTTTTAGACGTACGCACACTCCGAGGCCCAAACATCGACTCGGACCACTATCTTGTTGCAGCCAAGATACGCACCCGCCTCTGTGCAGCAAAAAATGTGCGCCCAAATATGCAAGGAAAGCTTAACGTCGAAAAGCTGCAATCACAACAGACAGCCAGCGCTTTCGCTACTCGACTCTCACACCTGCTCTCAGAGAGCACTCTTCAACAAACCGACATATGCGAGCAGTGGAACCACATTTCCCGCTCATTAAGTACCGCCGCCGAAGAAGTAGTCGGATTTCAGCGAGCCCGAAAGAACAACTGGTACGATGAGGAGTGTCAGGAAGCTGAAGAAAAAAAGATGCCGCCTACAGGGCCACGCTGCGATCGGGCGCAACGCGCGCTATGTGGGACCGCTATAGGGATCTGAAGAGGGAAGCGAGACGTATTTGCCGCAACAAGAAGAGAGAGGCAGAAATACGTGAGTGCGAAGAGCTTGAAATGCTGGCCGACAGGAGGAATGCCCGAAAATTTTACCAGAGAGTTAGGCGACTTACGGAAGGTTTAAAGACCGGGGCGCACTCCTGTAAGAACAATAATGGCGACCTAGTAACTGATGTCCAGAGCGTACTTAAATTATGGAGGGAACACTTTTCCGCCCTACTAAATGGTAGCAGCACGGAAAGTTGTGGAGAAGAAGAACCCGAGCCCGCAGTCGATGATGACGGAGTCGACGTTCCACCGCCTGACTATGACGAGGTACGTATAGCAATAACGCGGCTGAAAAACAACAAAGCCGTTGGAGCTGACAGCCTGCCAGTTGAGCTATTCAAGTACGGCGGCGAGGAGTTGATAAGGTGCATGCATCAACTCTTGTGCAGAATATGGTCAGATGAACGCATGCCCGACGACTGGAATTTAAGTGTGCTCTGCCCAATCCACAAGAAAGGTGACCCCGCCATTCGCGCCAACTACCGCGGGATCAGCCTTCTAAGCATAGGTTACAAGGTCATATCGAGCGTATTGTGTGAAAGACTGAAGCCCACCGTCAATGAACTGATTGGGCCTTATCAGTGTGGCTTTAGACCTGGCAAATCCACCATAGACCAGGTATTCACAATACGCCAAATCTTGGAAAAGACCCGCGAGAAAAGGATCGACACTCACCACCTATTTGTCGACTTTAAAGCCGCTTTTGACAGCACTAAAAGGAGTTGCCTATACGCCGCTATGTCTGAATTTGGCATCCCCTCAAAACTGATACGGCTGTGTAAAATGACGTTGAGTAATACCACCAGCTCCGTCAGAATTGGAAAAGACCTCTCCGAGCCGTTCGCCACAAAACGGGGTTTCAGACAGGGCGACTCCCTTTCGTGTGACTTCTTTAATCTGATGTTTGAGAAGATAATAAGAGCTGCAGAACTGAACCGCTCAGGAACAATTTACTACAAGAGCGTGCAATTGCTGGCTTATGCCGATGACATCGACATCATCGGTAACAAAAACCGCGAAGTCTGTTCTGCCTTTTCCAAGTTGGATAGGGAAGCAAAGCGCATGGGTCTGGTGGTAAACGAGGACAAGACGAAATATCTCCTGTCATCAAACAAACAGTCAGCACATTCGCGCCTTGGCACCCACGTCACTGTTGACAGTTACAATTTCGAGAAAGTAGAGAATTTCGTTTACTTGGGAACCAGCATTAACACCGATAATAATGTCAGCATTGAAATCCAACGTAGAATCACTCTTGCCAACAAGTGCTACTTTGGACTGAGTAGGCAATTCAGGAGTAAAGTCCTCTCTCGACGTACAAAAACCACGCTCTATAAGTCACTCATCATGCCCGTGCTGGTATATGGCGCAGAAGCATGGACAATGACAACATCCGATGAGGCGGCTCTTGTGGTGTTTGAGAGAAAGATTTTGCGGAAGATTTACGGTCCTTTACGCGTTGGCGACGGCGAGTACCGCAGACGATGGAACGATGAGCTGTATGAGCTTTACAACGATATGGACATAGTGCAGCGAATTAAAATACAGCGGCTCCGCTGGCTTGGCCATGTCGTTCGAATGGACACCGACGCTCCAGCTCTGAAAGTATTCAACTCGGAACCCGCTGGTGGTAGCAGAGGAAGAGGGAGGCCCCCACTGCGATGGAAAGATCAGGTGGAGAAGGACTTGGCTTCACTTGGCGTTTCCAATTGGCGTTAGTTGGCACAGAGGAGAAACGACTGGCGTGCTTTGCTGAACTCGGCCAAAATCGCTTAGGCGGTTACAACGCCAAAAAAGAAGAAGAAGAAGATCAGGGGCGTCAATTTGAGAGCACTTTATTCAAAGAGTTGGCAAAACTTTTAGGAGTCAGACACATACACACCACCAGTTACCATCCACAAGCAAACGGTATGGTGGAGAGGTGGCACCGAGTTCTGAAAGCCGCGCTCAGACGCCATTCGGCAGACGTGAATTGGGTAGATGTCCTACCTATCGTCCTTTTGGGGTTAAGAACAGCTGTTAAAGAGGACTTAGGAGTTTCTGTGGCGGAAATGATCTACGGTCAACCTATTCGGCTTCCAGGCGAGTTCTTAGACGCCAATGAGGGTAGTCCCGTAAACCGGCAAGGTTTCTTACGGGAATTGCGACGGCATTTTGAAACGGCTCGGCCGACTCAAACTTCGCAGCACGGAAAACCTGCGGTGTATGTTCCCAAGGATCTCCGTTTTTGTAGCCACGTTTTTCTGTGGGATGACACCATCAAAAAGCCATTGAAGGCACCGTATGACGGGCCATATCTCGTGGTCAGCAGATATCCCAAGACATATACGATACTGGTAGGATCAAAACCTGTCACGGTATCTATCGATAGACTTAAACCAGCTTATTTCCCAAAGGACGAGTTGGCAGCCGTCAGGCAGTCTAAGTTGTGACCAATTGTTCTTATTCCGGCAGGCCTACTAGAAGGGGGTGGTGTAGTGATAACCCTAACACTTGTACTTGCCACACTGTGTGGCAACACCATAAAAAGTCAGCGATTGGCAAAATGCAACCAACTTCATGTTATAGAATTTGAATACTAACCGACGCCAAAGCTTTGTCGACGCATTTCGTAAAACTACTGCGCATTTCTACAACTGGATAGTTTATATGAAAGTATATTTTTAAGTTTGTAATTTACTGAATTAAAGATAGAGAATTATAGAACATTGGAGTTCTATAGATGTATATTATTTCGCAGGGTCAGAAGAGCAAACGGATTATTTTATATATGCCAGGATGGAACATTCTCCTTTTCTGTTGCAAATTTTTTATATTGTTAAATAGTCCCAAAGCTACCGCAAAATTATTAATTTGCAACAATTCCAAAACAAACAATTTAGGTTGTCGAACGAACTCGCACAGTTTTAGCAGCTGTTTTCCTTAATTGTAGCAGTGCTGGAAATTCCCAGTGGAATATTAGTTTAGGTACTAAAATTTAGGTAAACTCGCACACAGCCTAAATACTAATTTCACTTTGGACAAGTTGAAGTATACCCATTTGTATTTGCGGTATCTGCGAAACATCCAATTGTGCTTCTTCAACGGTAAGGGCGATGCTGTCCAAAAATATTCGAAAAAGCAGACTTGCGCTCAACGGATGCTCTAACACTTTTCATGGCGGTAAGCAGCTCACATTCTACAGCATTGCTCTTACTTTTCCGAGGCACTGCAATAGCTGGCGTTGAGGAGTTGATGCCGCTTAAGTTCATAAATGACCTCGATGCTTCGTCATCGAAAGGAATTTCTTCCTCCGTTAAGAAATTTCCAATTGTGCTGATAAAGAAATTGAATTACATACATTTTATCAACATATCTTCATTTCGCACGCTTATTAATACACAGACTTAATTCCCAATACACGTTTTTGGGGATTTTATCATGCAATAAGCTTTATAAGGAAAATATGTATACCACTTTATTATCAAACGTGCGATGTGCTCAAAGTTGAGTGGTAACTTACCTCGTGTTCGATGAATCTACATCCAGCAAGAATAGTAGGCTGTCGTAGTTTTTGTATAACTTGGTGTCTGGCGACGACTGCCCACTACCAGACGCAGCCTCGGTGCTCTTCTTTTTATGCACCCGATAGAAGCGCTCGCTTCCACTTTTTTTTTCAATACATCAACTGAAAAGAAAAGTGAAAGTAAAAGGGATTACTCGCTTTCATAGGACATACAGGCTGCGTTTCTTTATATATTCCAGATAATCCCATTTCACAGCCAGAATAAACAGAATGCGTTTGAAATATACGTTTACATATCATCAGGAACGTTCTAAAGAATAAGTAAACAAAAAAGTTTATTCCAAACGTTCAGAATGAATAAAGAAATGTAGCCACAATGTTAAAAGGAGTATGCTTATATACAGAAGCATAGAGAGCAATGGGGAGTATTCGTAAACTCGCAAGGGGGTACGATGCTCCCATATATACATATAGCACAGCCCTACAAAATTCTAACTGCTTTCAGCACAACCAGTAACCACTAATTCTCATGATTTTTCCCACAGAATCAAAATCTGACCTTCAAATTATTCAATTGGCTTTTGCGGTACGGTTTAGTTATTTTCCCAGTGATTTCGGACTATTATGTCCGAATGGGTGACCCGATCCAAAAAAAAAATTTACACACACTTGTAGACAAGGGTCTACACTTTATTTTTAAATATTACTAGCGGTACCCCGGTGTGCTTCTCTACACCAAATATAGAAAAATTAATGAAAAATCCTGCACGCCGTACTTCCTTTTGTTGGGAGTGCTCCTCAACATTTTGCGATCTTCTTTGCGATAACATCATCATCATGTTCGCAAGACGCGTATGTCGGCCTATATTTGAACGACTGGATCGTGGCATTTTATTCAATAGCGAACGAAAAACTCAATGCATAGGAACGAATTCGATAAATCGTATGGTAAACGCACTTTTTTTAAAATAATCAAATGAAATTCACAATCGACAGTAAAAGAGCACTTGAAAAAACTTCATTCGAAGCCAAAGAACACAACACAGCCACAATTTTCCACAATGGTTTTGTTCACTATAAATCAGTGAGGAGAAATACCTGCATGGAAAATTTCCAGTGTACTGAAACTTTTCGTACGAAACGCTGCAACAAATTTGTGCAAAAATATTGAAATTGACGAAAAAAAATATGAAATATGAATTAAGAACTATATTAAACACACGTGTTGATTCTCCAAAGTCCAAGATAGAAAGACCGAATATCAATGTACACCACCTTTTCGATAATACGATGAAATGACAGATATGTTGTGTTGTGGTGACTTTCATTCCATTGGCTCTACAAAATCCCTATTGAAAAACTTGCAGCCATGTTTATACTTGACTTAATTTATCCGAAGAAAAAATAAACACAGCACATTATAGCAACAATTTTTCACTATGTTTTCGATTTTTCATGTTTGTGCTGTTGTACCATATACGTGGTTCATGTGACAGACATAAACTGTCATATATCATGAACCGCTGAACCGACTTCGGGCCCACTTCACATAACCCATCTGCATGATAGTCCGAATATACCGTTTAAATTTGGTAGAATTCGTGCACTTTTTTTTTTATTTAAGATGGGAGGTGCCACGCGCCCCTTTCCCAATA